GAATGGGATGAGGATGCAAAGATGTACATTTAAAAGCATTTTCAGAAAAATAGAGTTCCGCTCGAGCGCAGGTTTCCCCGCTCGAGCGGTCATGCAACAAAGGTACACGCTCGAGCGTAAACTTTCCCGCTCGAGCGTACCGTAAAAGTACTGGATGGGTGAAATCTCCGCTCGACGCCCGCTCGAGCGTGAGACATGACTCCGCTCGAGCGCCCAATCCCCCGCTCGAGTGGACTGTAAAACAGTGCAGAGATACTGGATGCTCGAATTCTACGCTCGAGCGGCACTTCCTCCGCTCGAGCGGAAGTGCAGAATCTGGAAATTCCAGATTGCACCGCCAAGCCAAAAACCAAGTTCAAAAGCATTAAAACCGATCCTCTTGGGCCCATTTTCTGGAAAACATTTATAAACACATAGAATAACATGGTTCAAAGCTCAATCTGAGAAATCAAAGCCCAAGGGTGTTTAATTCAAACTTAATTTCAAACCATTTTCATGAACATGAAGAACATGCAAACATGCATGAATGCAAATCATTTTGAAGCTTCAAAACATGCTCTAGTGAGCCAATTGATTCCGAAACATGATGAAAACATGGACTACTCTTAAAACATGGACATGCATGTGACAATTTGCCATGAATTCAACTCAAAATTCAACAATTCAAACATGCATGCATGAATTATGTTCTATTTCAACATGTATGAACTAAAACAAGACTTAGCTCCTCAATTTGACATGAATCATGCAAGAACAAGCTCAATTCATAAACAAGAGGGTAATTACTCTACCTTAGGTCTTGAATTAGAAGACTAGGAGCTCAATTAGCAATCTACACTTCAATTCTCTTCAAATTCTAAGCAATATTGAGAGGAACTCAACTCTTCAAGTCTCTCTCTCTCTAAGGTCGGCTAGAACAAGAAGAAATGGCTGAGGAAATGTTCTTCAAGTGTGTACATAAGGCTCAAGTGTGTGTATTGAGTGGGCCACTAAGGGTAGCAATTTGGTAATTAAGCCTAACTCTTTAATTAGCTTATTTAATCTAATTTAATCATACCTAATCACTTTTCCAATGAATGTACCATAAAATTACATTAATTATGAGGATCATAAAACACTAACCAATTCCGGATTCGGCCGCCGATAAGGCCTTCAATTAGCAGTTTAAACATATAAGCATGAACAGATAATCATACAGTCAGATAGATAGAATGCAATTTAACTAACATATACTCAATGAATTCGGTTTCCAATTTCAGTCAGTCAGTTCAATACTTTTAATCAGTCCAATTATCAGTCATGATCAATTCAGTTTAACGGTAATCGATGGTTATCGGTAATCAATCAGTCATTAATCGGTAAACAGTATGAGGGTTGTTACAGTTTGTTCGTCACAAACCTGGCCACAAACATCTCGGCCAGGCCTTCCCACGTCTTTACGCTTCCCTTCGGTAGTATATGGAACTAATCGGATGCAATTTCTCCAAAGGATGAGGGGAATACTTTGCAGAGCAATGGCTCGTTCCCACTATATAACGCCATTGAATTCAAGTATAGTCCAACATGAAAGTTAGGATCTGACTTACCATCATAAATTTGGAACCTCAGCATACTGAATCTCTTTAGCGCTTCAAATTTATCCAGTTCCATCGAGAACGGTGTCCTCGGCTTAACTGGGGAAGTTACCTCGGCTTCAACATTTTGTTGCTTTCTTTTGAGGTAATTCCTCAAGTCTTCTTTACTCCTACCTGGAGCTCGGCTATCTCTGGACTTCAATCTTTTTAGCACACTACTTTCGGCCTCGTGGTGGGTTCGTTTCGATCTTTCTCCATGGGTTGTGTCAAAGCAGAGTGCTTGCCCTTGAACATGCCGATGTTCTTTGGGTTTAGGGTCCTTCGAGTGATACGTCCTTTGGAACTCTTCTCGTCTCGGCTCTTCTCGTCCGCCTTCCCTGAAAGGTCGGTGAGAGTGCCTTCCGCTCCTAGTGTGCTGAGAGACTTCGGGGATTGTTCTTCTTCCTCCCTTCTGGGCATTGGTTGCTGGCATCGGTGTGTCCTGCAGCGGGTATGGTGGCTGCATGACATTATTTTGCATCATGAAGTTGACGACCGACTGTAGGTCCGCCAACTTGTTTGCCAAGTCTTTTACTTCCTTATCCCTCCGTAGGCACCAATCCCTCCATACCTGAAGGTTATCTTCGTTATAGTACTTGCCTTGGTCTGTCTTTTTTGAAGTGTTGCCCTCCTGGCCGACGTCTTTCTCGACGTGGCCTTGGTCATGAGTTTCTGCATTGTGGTTGTCTCCTTCAATATCAAGGTCAATTGGTCTACCACTCCCAGCAGGAGTGTCGCCCCCAATGTTTTCCTTCTGTCCGTTACTGGCCATCTATTCTTCTAAGATTTCCACAGACAGCGCCAAATTGTGTGGGTGAAAATTTGACCACACTGCCCGCCTAGTAATCAGCTGGAGAGCACTGGCAGAATAGATGGCTTTAGCAAACCTGTAACAGAAAGAAAAAGGCTCCGGCGGTGGCTCTTCCACCCGGGGGCACTCCGACGATCAAGTCAGTATATTTCTCAAAGATAATCAAGTGCTAAACTCACAAGCTTAAGCATAAAACTGCGTACCTTAGACCCACGGGGGTGCCTCTCTTTTATAGTTTACTCAATCCAAGTCCTACTAGAAGCCTGACTTCTATGGACTCCAATTCAATACTGACTTTGGACTCTTCAAAAGATAAACTCCCTAAGAGTTTTATCCTTATCTTGGCTAAGTCTTCTCTTTTCTCTAGGACTCTTGCCCCTTATCCATCTATCCGCTTATCTCGGATTCCGATATCTTCGGAGATCACCTCGGCCTCGCCAAAGATAACCTCGGCATAACTACCAAGACACGTGGCACCTCGGCTGACACGTCGGCGTCACCATGCCACGTGTTGGTATTCAGAAAATACATCCTCACAGTTTCTGAACAAATACTTATTTTTTTCTCCTACATAATTTTATTTTATCAATTTAAGAAATTTCTAAATTTTGGAACATAAAAATTTCCCTAATAGTTTTAACAATATTGAAATTAGGAATGGACAATGATTGGGTCAACTAGGATATTGGGTCAGATCGGTAAAAATACGTGGTGGAAGTGACGAGAATGAATGAAGAAAGGGTGACCAAACGGTGCAACGACAGAAAAAGTGATAAATGAAGGGGTTAGGATTTTTTTAGAAAAAATAAAAATAAAGCATATGAGTAGGTTGTCATTATATTAAAAAATTCTATGTTTTTATTTATTTATGTTGATTCTTCCACTATTTCTATTTTCATAAAATACTCACTTTTGTAAAATCTTGTCCCACCTTCTAGTTTGTAAGTTATTCTCCCATTTTGTTTGTATTATTAGATAATTATGTTGATAGTGTGAGTTTGGACCATACTTAAAATAGTCGTTTTTTTAAAGAACTTTTTGTTTTAGTGAATTTTTTTTTTTAAAATATACATTTTTTTACTTTTTAAGTATGAACGATGTAAAATATTAAAAAAATAATAATAGTAAAATTTTAAAAAAATCACAAAAACAAATGAAATTTTACAAATAATTTTTATTTTATTTTTTTATCTTTAATGATTTTTATTTATTTATTATTTTTTTGATCCGTCTAATAGAGTATAACATAAAAAAATAAATTATTAGAATTTTTTTTTAAAAAAAATAGACTAAAAAAGAAAATAAAAAGATACTAATAATCTCAACTCCAAGCACACCATTAATGTCAACAATGTATTGAAATTTCTCTCAATAGTTAAGTGAACGCACAAAAAATAAACAGCCTTTATTATTTGAATATTTATCCAATTCTTAGCACAACTTCGAAGCTTAACTGGAATGAAATTATTATTTGAATATTTATCCAATTCTTAGCACAACTTCGAAGCTTAACTGGAATGAAATTTTGAGGACTAGAGAGAGATAGTGCAAACGAAAAGAATTTATAAAGAATTCTGCCATGCATTAAAAATAAAATAAAATTATATCTGTAAATCGGTGAGAACTAATCAAGTCATGCATGAGAAACCACCACAAATAAGGCAAACACACATTCCGTATCCTTTTTGTAAGGGTGTAAAATCAACTACACTATTTAATTTTAAGCTTCGTTCATGTTCAATTCCTCAAAATTTTAAAATTTCAATTAAAACTATTTCAAGATGTGAACAAATCAATAATTTCAAAGACGCAACCAAACATAAGAAAATGTATTTATCCCAAATTGGTTTTGAATTTTATCCAAAAAACCTATATATATAAAATATTTTCCTCAAAACAAGCAAGCTGTAATCTTGAATTTGTTTTTTCCATGCTGCTTGCTATATAGTGACTCACTCAGGCAAACCAACAAACATGTATTGTAGTAAAACAAACAGCATATGCCGATAAAGATTGCTGTTCTCACAATATTCCAACAAACACGAAACTAAAATATCAATTATGTATGGATATATTATCTATATAATAATGAAACAGAAATCCAAATTAAATTCGATCCAACTTTCATTAAACAGGTTCCAGCAAAACAAAAAAAATAAAAACACAACCGAAAACGAAAACATTTGACATCTCAAGGAATTCATTCAATAACAACAAAGCACAGCTACAGCATGGTACGAGATCTTGAGATTCTCTAACTGTCCCATCAGCATGAGTGCTAGACAGCAACAACTAAAAAAGAAAAAGGTTTCTCATTCTTCTGCAGCACTAGCTGCGCTTAGATCCACGCTAAGGTCAACAGCCTGCAAAAACATAAGGATGTTAGTTACTAATACTAAAATTTTTTAGGCTCCATTTTTGACGAGGGAATTTCAAATGAAGAGACTTGAGATTCAATTTTTTAAAAATAAAGGATGATTAGCTATTGAAGACAAATCATAACTCAATAAAATAATATTTGCATACTGACAATATCAAAAGTAAACATGAATGTCATAACAGTGAACGATGCCTTTCTTCTAACCCTTTCCCCATTATAGAAAGGGTGTAATCAGGACTTGCCAACTTATTAAGTGTTAGAAATCAAAATACAATAATAGCATCACAACTGAGATTGCTAAAACATAAATGACATCAGAAAATCTTGCATACGACAAAACACTTGAACCAAGGGTGACAAATCTGTATGAACAAGAGCAAGAAACTAATTGCAATGGCAGAAATTATTCATACCTTTCCAGTAATCATGGCATACATATTGAGCACATCTGTCACAGTCGACTCAAAGTGAGTTGTGGCATCATAACTCTGTTGAACAAAGTGAGATAATTAAGCAAAATTACCAGAGGTTATGCTAATGGGTTCATGAATGGCATTTAGGAAAACCTACCATAGATATAAAACAATTGTCCAGAGAAGGCTCATTGACTGGTTCGTATCTGTCATAAGTATCAAAGAACAATTCATCCACAGGTCCCAGAAGATCAATTCCTGCCTTTAGTTCAATTTCAGGGTGATCAGTCTCTGCCTCGGACGACACAAATGCAATGTATTTGCCCTTTGGTGCAACATTGTGAGTATAAGAACAACAGAAAAGATACCTGCACAACCTCAGAGGAATCAGGTAAGGCAGTTCTAATTAGATGAGATATAAAACCTCAAATGTTGGCATTCGCACATTTGCAATACTGAGTTAAAATCAATTGAATTTAAAGTAATATTGATTGGAGACTTCCAAAACATTTTAAATAGTATTTATGACAATGTGCAGCCTTCCTGTCCAAGTTAAAGGAATTCACCAATTACAAGAAAATGAAATTGGCGGTCAATATCTCTTCATGGATGTGTACTATAACATTCCACTATTACATAGAATGAATGAAATCATTCTTCAGTGCCATAAACGAGATATTGAACTCATTTGAACACAGCACATAAACTGTTTCGATTTCCATAGAAGACCCAAAAACTACATTAATCAATTGATACAATTACCCAACAGAATTTTATAAACTCAATGGCCACTTTCTAACTATTTAGCATGTAAGCTGGTCCTTTATTTGATTTTCAGTTCCCTTCCCTCATTTAAATTTAAAACCACAGAGTAAGAATCTGGTTAGTTCTCTTGCTAAATTTCTGATTAGACTCTACCAAGAGAATCATACTCAACCTAAATCTTAAATGAACAGCATGAACAATATAACATAGTTCAAGAAAACTGGAAGCAGAAATTTCAAATCTAATTCATTTATGAAAGGTGGGGGAGAACTCACATATCTGATTTACGACCCAACTGCTTCTGTGGCAGAATAACCTGCACTGAGTGAGAATCGTTTGTGTTTGGGATTGGGTGGCTCATAATGGCAATTGCCCTTGCAACCTTGCCAACTTTTCTAGCCTGTCACACACCATGCTTCACAATCAAATTACTTTTTTATTAAAATGACATAGAAATAATAGGTCAGATAATGTTGACATCAGATACTTTACTTTTTCTGATCCAAAAGCCTTGTATGAGTATAAATAAGTTGGCTTATTAATACATTATGCACATCCACATATTTCTAATTAAACAGAAAAAGAAAAAAACCTTATAAATAAAATATTCAGGTGTAGTTACAATCTCTTGCATGAGCCAAAGCAACCTATAGGCATCAGCTAGGATAATGTCAACCAGCAGCTGGAAAGCTGGAATAAACTCAACAGGCTATATGCTAGTTACCTTGTTGGGTAAGTAGGAAGGATCACATACAACTTTCTTGCACCTAGCTGTTTCACCTTCTGATGTAACACCTACGACCTTGCCTTCTTCATCAAACTCTACCTGTCATTTGAGCACAATCAAACTTATTGGTGTGCCTCAATGTAAATAAGATAGCACCCAAAGAGAGAGAGAGAATAGAAAAACAATCTTCAAAACTGAGAAACAAGACAAAAAGGTACCTTACACTCAGGTTTATTCAACATATACGTCCCACCATAAACAGCACTTAGCCGAGCAAATGCCTGAATGAGCACATCACCAACACAAGATTCAGTATTATACCACGAGTAAATGAACAGAGAAGAAGATAACAAATGTTACAAACCTGAGGGAGCTCTCCCAGTCCGTACAATGGGTAAATGTATGGTGATCCTCCTTGAAAACGTGCAAGAGACTCAGCATAAAGCTGTCACACCATATGAAGCAAATAATTAAAACAAGTGCCCAAGAAGACCTTGAAGTTTAACTATACAAACCAACAGAAAGATTGTAAACTATGTATCCCACTTATCTTTCACCTTCATTCTTTTCACAGTATCCAAAGCAGGCTCATCTAAGTAGTGGTCATCTCTGTGAAGTGCAAGCGCATGACCGATAAAATCCACAGTATTGTCATCAAGACCATATTTCCTGTCAAAAAGTTAACAGAACTGTAAGCAGAATGATGGTATTGAGAGGATGCCAAGTGGGTATCACAAATGAAATGTAAGCAAAAGGAATTGGAATTCCTGAAGTTTGTTAGGATAAGTAATACACACACAAGCAATTGAGATAAATTATTCTCTTCCTCAAATTGACAAAGGATGGAACAATAACCAAGGGAAACAACATTATTACAGTATCTTCCAAATAATTAGCCGTGTAGAATTTGTTATTATCACTTGATAAAACAACATGGTAGTAGCAGGTTGTATGACTGACAAACATGACCATAATTTGAATTGGAATATCACTTAAGAAACAATAATAAGTGTGGTAGCATACATAGATTTCAAGTTTTAATGACATGCACCATGAGCATTAAAAGTTTGAACACCATTGCTCAATTTGAGGAAAAGTGCACACACAAAGTCAGTATATATACATATGTTTATTTGCAGTGCAGGAAGGAAAGTGGGAATTCAGTGAAAACATCTAAAATGTTTTGAAAACAAACTTCAAACATGTATCACCTGAACATTGAGTTTGGAAAGCTCTTTTGGACATTTTGGAAATGCTCAGGAAACAAACACTATGCACACTTTCAAGGAGACAGCATCTTTTTTATGATTATGAAGCCTTCTATCAACAATGATTTGTGAGTTTTCTTTCAAAACTCTTTAATAGTTCCCTAAACATTACATTGCAGTTTGCCATGGCTTTTCTAATGGTTTATATTCATTTCATAGAAAAAACCTATCGTTCTTATGTAGGTTCCAGCCCAATTCCAAATCAATGTCATTTACATTTATATCCTTTCTTCAGACTGCAACTGTTGTTTCCTTTTTCCCTTGTTATTTCCAATTTTGCCTCCAATTCTCGTAAGTAAGCACCAAACATCATTGAATCACTTTTGAATCAAGAACCTCTTGTTTTTCAAGTTCAAGAACTAGGAAACCATATGCTAGTTTTAAACCTAGCTCCTCTACTAAAATTAACCTAACTTGAGTAAACAAAATTTAATGATGACAGTGAACACTTCACCCATAGTATTGTAAAGGAATTTGAAGATGTGTAATAATGGCATGACCATTAAGTTCATTGAATAGAACTTTTTTTTTTTTTACCATAAGGTGTTACAAATCAATGTGTCATTCAGATGTCAAATAATGTATCATATATGCTCCTTCAGAAGTACAAGTAGGGCTGGACATTGGCCTGACAAATCATGAAGCCTGCCCATCATTTATAGGGTTGGGATTGCATGTAGTCCCGGGCTTAAGAACTTTTTTAGGTTCAGCTGTAAATGGGGGACAGGCTAGTAGTGTTTAAAGCCTGGCCTGCACTGAAATTATATCTACAATATATTTATGTTGTACTTATGTTTTAACTTTATTTTTAGAAAAGGGAAATTTTTATTAAAAGGTTTGTAAAGAAGCTAGTTAGAAGATTTGAACTATTGACCTTTATTTTATAGAGAAACACCTAAGCCATTTTAATTACCAATCATTAAAAGCCTTTCCGTAATATGGATGGGCATTGGCTGTTGAGTTTTTCTTTTGAGTACGCTTAGGACTATAAGGTCAAGCCCAACGTAGGGTCAGACCGGGCTTGACCCACAACACTTTTCATTATTATGTAGTGCCAGCCCGGTTGTACCAAGCTTGTAAAATCTTCTACATCAAAAAGTTTCAGGCCATGTTCTACTTTTCAACTTTTGAAACTACACCACTAAAAAACACTGACCAGAAAACATTCTCATTAATCCAAAAATGAGAAGTGAAAATCAACAAGATAATACTGAGAACATCTTTCAGGTTGAAATTTCTCAACAAATATATGAGACACACACACACACACACACACAAAAAAAAAAAAAAGAGAGAGAGAGAGGGAGAGAGAGAAGAAGAAGAAGAGCATACGCAATAAGCTCTCTAGTTGTCACCCTAGTTAGATCCATGCCCTCGTGTGTTTTGGGATCACTTTCAATATAATCTTGGACATAAATGAAGAACTTGCGAGCACGACGCTTTTCAAAAATACCCATGAGACTCGTGTGTTTTGGGATCACTTTCAATATAATCTTGGACATAAATGAAGAACTTGCGAGCACGACGCTTTTCAAAAATACCCATGAGAGGAGATTTGAGGGCCTCCATGTCAGTTGCCGGCACCTTGTGAACCTATAGCACAAGGCTTATTATGAGTTAGGTGAATTAAGAATATCAAGGTTGGGAGCTTAACTGATAAGAACTTCTTGTACTCATGTGTCTATGCTAGTGTGAATGAAAAAGAGAGAGCTTCCAACATATAACAAAGTTATCATACCTTTCCTTTATTGTAGACAAAGCTACCATCAACGGCTTTGAAGGACAAATATTTGGTAACATCTGTGTGAATGAGGACTCGTACAAGAGTACCATTTGCCATCATAAACTGAGAAAACAAATATCACTCAGAATATCTTGAAAGTGGAGAACTTTAAGAAAATACAAAAATGGTTAATAGAGTTGAGAGGATAGAAACCTTTGGGATCATATCCACATTATAATCCCTACTCGAGCCCAAATTGGCTGGAGGCTTATCACTTCCCCTAAACCTCGTCCATAACTGTACATTAATAATTTGGTCAACACAATTAGATGAATATAGCAAGTTGCAATTGGGGTTAAACATCTTTCAAAAGACTTTAACTACATAAACCTGAATAAGATTGAGTGAAGTTGACTCTCCTCCATAGTAGTCATTTCTATCCATGTGCAAAACCTGGTACATGAGACATAGAATGTCAATGATCGAATAACAATTAACATGAAAATCTTTAAGTGACATTTTAAATAAACCTTGTTTATTCTGAAAAAACAAAGCAACATTACATCTAGCATTAGCAACATAACATCTATCATAAATAATATCTAGCCTGAGCAACAATAAATAATCTTAATACTGTCCAGCTATGTTACATGGACTTATGTATGAGTGTTAGGTGAGTATGTGTCTAGGCATCAGATTCTTCAAATTCCTATGTCCAAGGACACTGAGACACAGCTAGATGTTCATATTTCGTAATATTCTCTTTTATTTTATAGGGTAAAATGGTGTTTACAAAGTAACAAAGCGCATTGTATGCATAAACGGTGACCACAACCTATTCTCATACAATAATTATCTCAGTTAAATAGTACAATGCCAAAAACCTTGTATTTATAATTTAAAAATAGAAAACTAGTCCAATTATTATTTTTTGGAAACATAATAAAAATATCCTAATATTTATTTAAATCCAAAATACTAATAATAAATCTACCAATCAAATTTGTGGGTCCAAAAAACACGCTATCAATTCTCCTACGCTGAAAAGAACCTGACTTTGGTGAGTTAGGACCACATCTAAGAATCCCATTTGAAGGAGAGACACGCTGAATCAACAAGGAATTTCTCTTCAATTTAAAGACTCTCGAATCAGCGGCACAAGTAAAAGTATATTTCGTTGAGCCATCAATAAAAGAAGGGCAAATTTCACTTTACCCCCTAAGAACTTTGCAAGTGCAATTAACTAATGTTAATGGTGTGTTTTAATCCACAAACTAAAAGGGGCCTAGTGCAAAGCAGTCCTACTTCCTCCTCCCCCACTAGCCAACCCTAATTTCAAATTAATCTGACCCATAACAAACCCACCACATATACAAATATATAAACAGAAAAAGAGAAAGCCAGTAAAGAATTTATTGAAGTGCACAGTCAACGTAATGTGCACATTACATTACCCCTTTTCTTTTCTTTTACATAATTTTTCTCTTTCCGGCCATCCTGTATCACTTGGTAGGACAACCAATATGAATGCTTTCTTCCTTAGTTGAAAAGTCATTGCCCCAATCAAGTTGTTAATTTAATAGACACACTTACACACAACAGCTAAGAGAAACAATAATAAATAACAATTAAGAAGAAAAAAATCTTGCCTAACAAAGAGAAGACAACTACTGTCACTAACCATGCCTTAAATATATTAGTCCAACCCTAAATAATATGTGGCCACCAAAATGAAAACTAAGTCCTAAAAATGCCCTCAAGTTCAAACCTCCAACCTTAGGGTTAATACGTCAAGACTTAACCACTGAACCAGTGAACAAAAAATGAATCAAACCAATCTCCAAATTAACTACAAACTCATTCTTAAACCTAACAGTTTATTTATGCTTGTTTACTCGCATCAAAATTAACCGTTCATAAGCACCCTAATTAATTTCATGGTTTCCAAACACCTATATGCTTATCAAGATATTGAAATGTGTTTTGCATGCACAGATGCAAACCATGTTATATTATATCATCCTTTTTGAGCACCATGTGCATCCTCATGGCCCATAGGGACTAGCAAGTTTTTCCGTTGACATCATCACATGCTCATGTAGTCATTTGGATGAAGTTCATGAGTGACAAAGGAAGTTCATGTGCGCCAATTTCCTACAACCAAAGAAAGATTTACAAGCACGGGATATCTAAATGCTTCATGTTTGTATAGATGAAGCCAGATGTTTATCGTTGTCATTTTCATTTTTTTACATTTGACACCTTTGCCAGCAATTTGGTTCACTAAAAAGGTTTACAACCCAAAAACAAAACAAAACAAAACAAAACAAAACAAAAGAAGAATTACATTTCGATCTTCCTGTGCAGATAACAATTAGTTAGATTAGAATAAGTATTTATCTCTTTCATTGTTCAAAATATTTTTTCTATCAATCTTCACATAGATTTTACGATAAATCTGCATGCAACTAAATTTGGGTTGCATTTGGATTATGGATTTGAGTAGGAATTTAGAAAGAAAAAGGAAAAGGCGAGGGAGTCCAGGATCCAAACATAGCCTTAGTAAACCAATTTTGCCTGGAAATCAAACAGGAAGGCCTGCAAACAATACTAGAACTGCAAATTCCCTACCCAGCAGCAAATAATACAACAATTATTCCCAAAAAAAAAAACAAATTGAAGGCACTCCTTTGCAACCTGAAACTCCACCCATGAACACACATAGGATTCAAAAACAGACATGCCTTCAGATTTCCAGGAAAAGGAAAATTGCAGAATTAAAGGCCAATTTCAAGAAATCTCAGCAACTGAAAACAGCTTTATCATGGATCATAAATAAATAAATAAACTTTGGAGTAACCATCTTTTAAGAACCAGATTTCAATAAATCTCAGCTATATCAGCAACTAAAATGTCAAATTTTCTATCCACCACCTTTTATTTTATTAAATTTTTGTTTTTTCTTTTTCTATTCATTTGTTTGTGTGAATCCGCGGGATCCCAAATAAATAGTCATCGAGATCGTTTCCGATCTCAAAATAACAACCACCTAAGACCCAATTCAGCTCACAAAGAACTAACAGATTTGATCAAAACACATCAAAAACTAAAAATTAACAAATACCCATATGAACACAATTATTTTCCTGGAAAATGAGTAAGAACACAAGGAGAAGAAGAATGGGGAAGACCTTAAGGCCATCGACGGAGAGAAGACCGCTGAGGATGCATTCTTTGAGACCGGTCCCAAGCACAATCACATCGTACTCTTCATCCATGCTTGGATCGGCGACTGAGAAAGACTCAAAGATCTAGCGATTTTAGTGTAACAGATCAAATGATCGAGACAGCTATGGATTGGAATCGGGAAAGCAAGGGTTTTGTGGAATTAGGTATAAATGTATATATAGAAGAAGATAGATAAAATAAATATATTGAAAATTAAATATAATATTTATTTACTGATATAGCAGGTGGTGATGGCATCTCCAACATTTTCAAATTGGAAGATGTTTGGTGGCTTGAATTTTTGTAATTTGAATGTGTTAAAATGGTATCTTTTTATGCTTAAAATGATGTCGTTTTAAATGTTTTGAGTTATGATTTTTTCAGCTACCTAGTATTGTTGTTTCAAATTATTCAAAAAAAATATCTCTAATATTTTTCGTTTTTTCTTTTTTTACTTAAAAAGAAACTTATATGTTTATCCAAAAAAAATTAAAAATTTTATAACTTTACCATTATTGAAATTTTTACTCAAATTTATATTTAAATTTAAGTTTATTTATTAAAATATTTCATGTTAAATAAAGCTTTTATTCTTATGATCTAAATACAACCTCAATAAAATGAGTGTATGCAAATTCGGATTATATTCTCTTAGAATCCAAAATATTATAAGCCAAATGTGGCAATCTTTTTAATGCAACTTATGAAAGCTATTTATAAATATATTTTTTAAAATATATTTATGAGTGTTTAGTACAATTTATATTTATTGTTTATGAAATAGAAATAACATAATAAAATTAAAAAATGAAGCTTTTTTGATAAATTCATTTTCTAAGAGTTTTATTCCATCCAACTCATATTCTTTTTGACTATTCCAATTTGAGATAAGAAGACCAAAATACCCTTTTCATCTACTTATGTTCCATTTAGTTCACATTATTTTCTTATGTTTCAATAAGTCCTATGGGTGACATAATTATCAAAATACCCTTATTGTTAATGTTCACACTGTCAATATAAATGTTTATATCGTCAATGTGTAGAGGCCCGGCTCATGTCGATCCTCGTGGGTGTCCGGAAAAATTCGACTCAGGCCGGGCCGGCCCACAAGCCAAAAAAATAGGCCCGACCCGGCCCGTTGATATATATGAATATTCACATTGACAAGTTAACATTCACATTGATAGGAGTGTAAAAATGGCTTGCGACCCGTGGGCGGCCCGAAACCAGCCCGTCGCCCGGAGCGGGCCCGGGCCGGCCCGTTCACAATATGAATATTCACATTGACATATTAACATTAACATTAACATTGACAAGAGTGTAAAATTGGCCCATAACCCGTGGACAGCACGAAGCCCGGGCCCGGGCCTTGGTCTGGGCGGGCCCGGCCCAGGCCGTTGACAATGTGAATATTCACATTGACATGTTAACATTCACATTGATAGGAGTGTAAAATTAGCTCGCGGCCTGTGACCGGCCTGAAACCCGCCTGCGGCTCGTGGGTTGCCCTGGGCGGGCCTGGCCCGACCCGTTGATAATGCAAATATTCACATTGACATGTTAACATTCACATTGATAAGAGTATAAAATTAGCCATGACCCGTGGGCAGCCCGAAGCCCGGCCCCGGGCCGACGTGGGCCCGGCCCGTTAACAACGTGAATATTCACATTGACATATTAACATTAACATTAACATTGACAAGAGTGTAAAATTGGCCCATGACCCGTGGGCAGCCCGAAGCCCGGCCCCGGGCCGACGTGGGCCCGGCCCGTTAACAACGTGAATATTCACATTGACATATTAACATTAACATTAACATTGACAAGAGTGTAAAATTGGCCCATGACCCGTGGGCAGCCCGAAGCCCGGCCCCGGGCCGACGTCGGCCCGGCTCGTTGACAATGTGAATATTCACATTGACATATTAACATTAACATTGATAAGAGTGTCAAATTAGCCCGTGACCCGTGGACAGCCCGAAGCCTGGCCCCAGGCCGACGCGGGCCCGGCCCGTTGACAATGTGAATATTCACATTGACATGTTAACATTCACATTGATAAGAGTGTAACATTAGCCCGTGCCCCGTAGCTGCCCGAAACACGCCCACGGCCCGTGGGCTCCCCGAGGCGGGCTTGGCCCGGCCTGTTGACAATGTGAATATTCACATTGACATGTTAACATTCACATTGATAAGAGTGTAAAATTAACTCGCATCCCATGGGCAGCCCGAAGCCCGTGGAAGGCCCGGGGTGGCCCGGGTTTGGGTCCGGACCTACCCCGGGCTGAGGGTGAGCTTCGGGCAGTGGACAAGTTTTACACTCCTATCAATGTTAATATTAACATGTCAATGTGAATATTCACATTGTCAACAGGCCGGGCCGGGCCCTTGCCAACGGGCCGGGTCTGCCCTGGCCTGAGGTCGGGCTTCGGGCTGTCCACGGGTCACGGGCCAATTGTACACACTTATCAATGTGAATGTTAACATGTCAATGTGAATATTCACATTGCCAACGGGCCGGGTCTGCCCTGGCCTGAGGTCGGGCTTCGGGCTGTCCACGGGTCACGGGCCAATTGTACACACTTATCAATGTGAATGTTAACATGTCAATGTGAATATCCACATTGTCAACAGGCCGGGCTGGGTCCGCCTCGGGCCGCCCACGGGCCGTGGACAGGTTTTGGGCAGCCACGGGGCGCGGGCTAATTTTACACTCCTATCAATGTGCATGTTAACATGTCACTGTGAATATTTACATTGTCACGGGCCAAGCCCACCTCGGGCTGCAGTCGGGCTTCGGGCTGCCCACGGGCTGCGGGCCAATTTTACACTCTTATCATTGTGAATGTTAACATGTCAATGTGAATATTCACATTGTCAACGGGCCGGGCCGGGCCCGCCCCGGGCCACGGGCGGCATCCATGGCCGCGGGCCAATTTTTGTACTCTTATCAATGTGAATGTAACATGTCAATGTGAATATTCACATTGTCAACGGGCCGGACTGGGGGCCGCCCATGGGCCGCGGCCCAATTTTATGCTCTTATCAATGTGAATGTTAATATGTCAATGTGAATATTCACATTGTCAACGGGCCGGGCCGGGCTGGGCTGAGTCGGGCCTGTCCTGGGCTGCTGTCTAGTTTTATACTCTTATCAATGTGAATGTTAACATGTCAATGTGAACATTCACATTGTCAACAGGCCGAGCCAGGCCCGTCCACGGGCCGCGGGCGGGTTTTGGGCCGCTACGAGGCGCGGGCTAATTTTACACTCCTATCAATTTGAATGTTAGCATGTCAATGTGAATATTTACATTGTCAACCGGGCCCGCCCCGGGCTGCGGGCGGGCTTTTGGCCGCCTATGGGCCGCGGCCCAATTTTATACTCTTATCAATGTGAATGTTAACATGTCAATGTGAACATTCACATTGTCAACAGGCCGAGCCAGGCCCGTCCACGGGCCGCGGGCGGGTTTTGGGCCGCTACGAGGCGCGGGCTAATTTTACACTCCTATCAATTTGAATGTTAGCATGTCAATGTGAATATTTACATTGTCAACCGGTATTATTTTATACTTAAAATGATATCGTTTTAAATGTTTCGAGTTATTCGAGTTATGATTTTTCGAGCTACCTAACATTGTGGTTTCAAATTATTCAAAAAAAATATCTCTAATATTTTTCGTTCTTTTTTTTTTTTTACTTAAAAAGAAACTTATATGTTTATTCAAAAAAAATTAAAAATTTTATAACTTTACCATTATTGAAATTTTTACTCAAATTTATATTTAAATTTAAGTTTATTTATTAAAATATTTCATGTTAAATAAAGCTTTTATTCTTATGATCTAAATACAACCTCAATAAAATGAGTGTATGCAAATTCGTATTATATTCTCTTGAATCCAAAATATTATAAGCCAAATGTGGCAATCTTTTTAATGCAACTTATGAAAGCTATTTATAAATATATTTTTTAAAATATATTTATGAGTGTATAGTGTAAATCAAGAAAATGGACTTTATGGAATAAAACTATACATACATGGGACTAAATGGGTTAAAAAATTTCTTCATGGACTTCTTGAGTTAAAACACTTCTAAATTGGACTTATCAATAAAAATCCCATTAAAAAATTTCATTATGAATATGAAACCCAAGTGGCAGAGAATAAATTGAGAATTTTAGATGCTTTGTTTGTTAATTGACATAAAGCATATGGTGTTATATTTACTTATGATGAGATGCTTAATGGATTGAGTTCAATACATACTAGGGAATTTTTACGCAACAAAAAAGCAGTTTTTAGATATCATACTTAGATGTATCATTAGAAATGATTAAGGAGAAATAAATTTAGTAGTTCATTAATAAATTATTAAAATTAATTCTAAATTTACAAATGATTTCTTTCTTTTTTTTAACAAAAAAATCAAAATGTTTTCGCCAAAAATAAGTTGGTTGATGAAAAAAAAAAATGATATTAACTTACTACTACAACTACCTATCAAATAATATAGTAAGGAAGCACTGGGGTGTTTGGGAACCCAACTTTGAGGCTAAAATAGCCTCAAAGTCTAATTTAGCCCACTAACCTTAAAAAATATGTAAACCAATGATTTATATTTTAAAAAAAACAAAACAAAACAAAAAGTAGGCTCGGCAGACCTACACTATCTGTGACAGTGTAGGTTTAGTGTAATTATAGCCTAGTCCCAAATGAGTAAATGACCATTTTGTCCCTTTAGACTAATTTTGAAAAAAGTAAAAGTAGGGACAAATTTGTCATTTCACTTTAAACCTCATTTAAAACACATTTTTCATTATAACAACTCAAATAAAAATCCATTCTAACACTCCAGGTAGAAGTTGCTTGGGGTGTTTTAAATAAGTGCACTTTTTGTCTTTTTGAACTAAAAAATTGAGAAAAAAAAGATGGATGTTTGGATTAACTTTTTATTTTTTTACAAAAAAATATGTAATAAAAAATTGTATAAATAAAGTGTATAGCGGAAGAAAGTTGACTGGTTGTATGGCTGCCCTGCTACCTCAGCATGTCTTACATAGAAAATAATTGCCTCATTTAGGGCAAAGTATTTAGATAGTGATGGTTGGTCCGTGGGGGCCACCATGGGTACCATTTTAATAATCTGAAACGTTCAATATGTACAACT